AAAAAACAAATTAAGGAAGTATTTAAGTACCTTAAATTAAATTTCTTCCTTCTACAACATATTTAAATTTTTACCACTCACTGTGAATTATATTTTTTTAAATATTAAAAGCAATAGCTTGAATAAAGAAATAAAATCTCATATTCACTCACCACAGATGAACACCAGCATTTCCAAAGCCAATGCCAGCAAAGGCACTTGCCAAATGCATATTTGACCTTGCTTCAAGATCATCAGGATTTCTGACAGCCCTGTGAATTATGTACGTATAGAACAATAACACATCAACACTGATATTTCCTACTGAATAAAGAGCTGCCTTAGGGAAAGATCTGGGAGGAAAACGCCATTCGGTAAGAAGAAAATTCAGCAAGTTGTTCAAAGGATGCCTTGTCTTCCAAATGAAAACCAAAGGGATACGCGTTTTCTCATCAACAGTTTCACCAAAGGCATAATAAATACACTGTCAGCTGCTCATGTGATATAAAAATCCAGGGGAAGCAAACGCTTGGTCCTTGGACTATGACAGCTGCTTGAGGGCAGTGCCCTGAGACTCATTCTTCTTCTTCATTTGTCAGTGTCCCTGGTGGCAGCTGTGAATGGACTCAGAGTAAACATATTCTCAGAATTGAACCATGAACCCCTGTCACCCAGGGCTCCCCGGCTGCCCAGCCATCTTTCTTCATGAGAAACTGACCCAAATCAGACCCGCCGGGGCCGCCTGGTACCTGTGTAAACTGCACATCTAGTCTCTAACTGCTGCTGGGGAAGTGAGGTGTTTTTGCAGTTCCAGCCTGTGTTTGTTCTGTGCGTCCCCAGTGCCACTTAGGAAAGGCAAATTCTCAAAGACCCTCTTTGAGACTTGGCTCAGCCTTTCTGCATGTTCTGCTTGGAAACCTTGCCCTGGGGAGGGCGCCTGACCACTGCCAAGCGAACCACTTCTACTTGGTGTTTTGCGATTTGCCTCAAGGAAGTGTTCCTGTTTACATAAAAGTGCTGCAGCCTTCTTACTCCTTTCATTTGGAGTGGTTAGCCATTTGTGCCTCTCTTCCAAAATCCAATGTCAGTTCTTCATTCCCTGAGTAAATAACAAGGCGAAATAGCGATCATGGAGCTTGCGGCCCTCCCTTCGTCCTCTCACTGTGGCTTTGCTAACCCTCCTGTCCTGTCAGATCGACTGGCTTCCCTGTGGGTCTCCCAGGAGTCAGGAACAGTTCTGTGTCTCATCCCTCTCCCCCGTGCTCCACTACAAAATGTGATTCCAAGGCTTTCTCTTCAGTGGAGCTGCTAGACCCAAGCCAGAGGAAGCGCTGTGTCCATGTCTAGGCCTAACCTGTGGTGTCCTTTTTCTCCATTACAAATAAATCAAAAAACGATTGGGCTTTGCATATATTTTAATGTCTCAGGTGGCAGTTTTATCTTT